TCTGGTAGGCAAATGGCCAATCAGAGCACTGACTGCCCAGGAAAGACAACCTTGATACTCTTTCAACATCAATTGGCAAAAGAGTGGCAACTATATGGCATGCTATTCTCATGCGCCCCTTCACCTCCAAACCCTCGGGTAACACATGGAGTAACATCTTGAAGGAGTGGGGAAAATTTCTCCCACAACCTCTGCACGATCCCATATCTAAGCATGATATTCTCAACACCTGTCTATTCGAAAACCCATCCATCAGAGGCTCGTCCGAACTTCCGTTCTCAGTCTCCAAGGCAGCAGGGAACTTTGGTCTGTCCTGGATGCAATGTGGCATATGGCTCATCAGTCACATTTGGAATGAGGAGGAAAGCAATTGTAAATCAGCGGAGCAACTGAAACCTACTCTGTCGGGACTACACAATACTCAAGAGCATCTCACAGCTATCATCAAAGCTATTCCAGCAGAATGGGCAGTCGCCCTCTCCAAGCCAGCTACCATCTTCAGAGAACTCCAATGGTTCAGAGACCATACAGTTCCCCCTTCCTTTTTCAGGGTGGAAGCGATAAAGGAGGACGGTTCAACAGAAGCATCTGAATGGACTCTGACCAATTCCCGGTTGGAACAGATCACGGAATCCAGAGTCATCTCCCTGGGAGAGATGGAGGAGGTCAGAGTAACTCGAAAGAAGATGTCCCCGGGCTCTTCGCCATCTCAGATATCTGTACAGGTAGCCCCAGTATGTAACACTACGATTGATACCCACAGATACGGCTGGTTAGTAACTGATATCCACGGCTCCACAGACAAGATCCCCCTATCAGACTATACATCTCAGATAGGCTATAAGATTCAATCAGAACCTCACTTGATTCAGACAACTCTATCCCTCAACTTGTCTCATAAATCTTCCTCTCTTAACTTACAACCTATATCCCCCAAATGGCTTCTTTTCTATATACATATTCTACTCTCAACTATAGAAACCAAAGTTGGTGGGCTGCAGTGGCTACATCTGCATTCCTGGGTCCCCACGGCACTATGGTGCTCAGAGAAAGGAATGGGCATCCCCGTCCTCTGCGACATATGCCCACACCCTAGCCTGGAAGACGGTCTGCACCTCTGGTGGGAGTGCATCATAGCTAGGGGTTTCTGGGACTTCTTGAATAAACTTTGGGCAGTAGCTTACAAGATAAATGATTTCTGGAACAAGGATCTAATACTCACAGGCAGGGTCATTCCAGGTTTCCAAAAACTACAGGCAGGCAAAATTAGCCTCGTATTTAGAGCAAGAGCTTTCTGGCAAATCTGGATAGCCAGAAGAGACAGGAGATTCCTTGATACAGTTAACCCCCTATCTTCCCTGCTATCCCAATTCAAACATTTCATGCGTCTAGATATTACAGCAGATTGGTACAGAATGAGGAACAGATCTCGTTCACTTGAGATGGCAACTTCACAATTTCAGAAGAAATGGTCCTCCCCATACCAATGGGCGGGCATAGTGGAAGGCAGCAAACTTTTCTACTCAGAGCTCCTATGGGATCACCCCCCAATCAGATAGGGATCATTCAATATCTTCTGTCAGCAGGTCATATGCTGGGAAGGCCTTGCTACAGGCCACTTGCTCTTATTTATTGTTTCTGTATGTGTTTCTGTATGTGTTACTCCGGGTAGACTGTGAGGACCCCGGCCTCAACCATGTTATTAAGGGGCGTTGGGCCCGATTCCCAACATGTGACACTCCCCACGAATAGAATGGAGCCATTGTTTCAAAAAAAAAAAAAAA